TCACAAAAGTCATCACTAAAGTTGAGATTCACCGCTCACCCTCCAATGCCTACTAAGAAATAACATGTCCAGTTGAGTTTAGGCTAGAGTTATGTTTCATTGTTACCCTAGTACTCTTAGGTCCATCTAATTCAGAACCACAGCAGAAAACCTTATAATTTGCTGTAATCATACCAGTCATTACCACTATCATTATGACATCACTAAACACCTTATGGCAATGCATCAACTAGGAAGAGGTAAATTTAAAGCTCAAGGCAAAGAACAAATGATATTTCTTCAACTCATGTTTCCTATAATATTTTATTTTTAGCACACTTTAAAAGTACAATACTCTACCTTAAAATATTTTCAGGATTAAACATGTCAGTATTTTTAAAATATGATTTATAAAAAGGAACACATTATAACTAGGTATTAAGTACACAAAATAGCATTATATCATGCTAGATTTCAAAAGCTAAGGAAAATACATCCATCCTTCATCCACCTTGGAAACTAGCACATATTTTAAACAATAGGGTAATCTCAAATACACTCAACCAAATGCATAAAAGACATACCTCTTGTTCTATTTAAAATTAGACTTCTAATCACACTTGTAATAGGAAAAAAGGGACTTTTATTTGATCTTTGCATGGAAATATAAGAAAATATTCATTTAATTTTGGTTTATTACGCAGTTACTCCATAAAGCTGAAAAACTGCAGGTAAAGCCGAAACAAAATTAAATCCTACAGCAAAGGCCAAAAGTTCAGTATTTTCCAAACCACACTTGTTATTACTGCTCTTTGTTTTTTTACTGCCATTTCCTTAAAAAGAAAGTTTCCTCTGATTTTTTAGAAAGCTGGTTCTATATTGCCTTTGATTTTCCCTTTAGTCTAGCTACATATTTGTATAAACAAACAAACCAGTTTCAGGACACCTAGAATTAACCCGTATATTGAGATAAACTCATTTTAATACCAGAAATTATTTACTTATCTGTCTTCACATTGATCCTCAGGACCAAAAAGACTGCTGATAAATTTAATCACAAGACAGGTTCCCTTTGTTTTTAGCCAAGCCCTAAAATTGCTCAAATTAGTCAAAAAATATAATGAATAATATTTTTAAAATATAAATTTTCTTCAAATTTCAGAAAGGAAAAAAAGATTCCCATATTAATCAACTCAGAGGTCATCATCTTGACCTTCATTCACCATCTGTTCATTTGCTAAAGAAACCACACAAGTTTTAAATCTAAGGTATAACGTTTAAACACTAATTTAAATAATTTTGAATTTTTGTTAGCTCAAGAAACATAATAATTGAAACAATTGAAACACTGTACCCCACGAATATGTACAAAGAAACATAATAATTGAAACAATTGAAACACTGTACCCCACGAATATGTACAAGTAAACGTTAAAATAAAAAAAAAAACATAATAGTTACATCACTATTACTGTAAAAACAATCCATTCTCAGCATATAGCTTAAAAAATTTTTTATTGGAAAGGCATATCTTGATTTACAATGGTTTATCGCTGTCAAACCTGAGATAAAATACACACTTTTAAAAAGACATACCGTCCTAATTCCTTAAACTTTGGTAATATTCCTAAAGTATCTTCTGCTATACACTGTGCCATAGCCAATATCCAGAGGCTGCAATATAACATCAACGTTCTTCAGTTATTTAACCTCTAAACACTAAGATGTTTTCTTCGTCATAGAAAACAATGAAAAAATGGATACATCTCTTCTATGATATACCTCCAAACAAGCTATTATTATCACAAATACATTTGAAAAGGGTAGGGTACAAAGACATTGAAGATGGCTTTGGACGTGTACAGGTAAATTGAAACCGCTCCCTCCAGACCCTAGGGATAATGAAGTATCTTCTCAATCACTGAAGTTACTCAGATGGCAGGATTTGTGAATACTCAAAGCATCAGAAACCTCTGAACTGCTGTCTCCTCTTCTTAGGATAAATAGTATACATTTTATAATAAATTATACACTACATCCATTGTTTTTTTACTAAACTCACGCCTACATTAAATTTTGTTATTTCTAAAAGTATTGCAGGACTAAACTTAAGAGAATGATTTCAAATCTAACTCTAGATTTTTAAAATCTACATGTCTTTTTTAAAAACCACATCACAAACATCTAAAGTATCACAGAACTGCATTATTTGAAATTTCAACAGCAATCTGGGTTAATCCTGATATTTTTTAAATAGCAGAAAACATTACTATCAAAGAATCCCTTCCAAATGCTGCTTCTGCTTTTTGTCTTATAAAATAATAGCTTTGAAAATGTATCCAAAAATCCTTCTAAATTACACAAGTCGAGCAAGGTTACTTTACAGGACTCCCAGAACCACCTAAAAGTGTAGGAAAAAAATTGTTTAAGTACCTATGGCATTTTTCCTGGATAAAAGGTCCATATAACTTTCAGCTTCTGAAGGGAGTTCAAAACTCAATTAAGATGAAAGCGCCTGGAAGGACCCAAATTAGAGGAAGATATATCCTGATTTGGTGGCTCCTACACAACTTCTGAGCGATAAAGGCATGGAATGGCTGTCCGATACAAATAGCCCCCTTCACACACAGAACACGGCAAGCCCCTAATTTGCCTTGAAGGGGACAGAAAGCTAAACGGATTATCCCCCAGTACTCAAGGTTGACTGGCTCTCGCAGGACGTGCCTCCCCTTGCACGGGAGGTTCTTAGGCGGAGCTGCAGTCCCCTGTGGGGTCTCACAGCGACCGCATCACCAGCAGCCTCCTCCCGCCCCCCAAAGCGCCGTGAAGTAGCGACTGCCAGCCGGAGCACAGGAGACCCGGGCCCGCGCCCCACACCAGTCGCGCGGGCGCGGAACTGCCTCCCCTCCGAGGCGCGCCCCGGGCCGCCGCGGCATGGTCGAAGCTACCCTCCCCGCCCGGGTCCCGGAGAGCCGCGGGCAAGCCCCGTTACCACACCCCACAAGAGAAAGGGTAGAGCACGGACAACAAAGCCCAACCCGAGGGGGCCCAGGCGAGTTGGAAGTTGCGGGGGCTGCGGCGGC